CCTCCTGCCGCCCGCACTTCTGTCTCAACGCACTTCTGGCTTTCTCATCTCTCACGAGTGGGCGTGCCGGCGTTCTTTAGTGGATGTGACGGTGGAGGAGACGCCTAGGAAGGCAACTCCTCCGTCAATTAAGGGTAAGTGATGCATCTGCAATTGCAGATGTGTATGAGCAGCGGGGTCTCGTCGCCATTTCTGCACATTCAGGTGGCCGCTTACTCATTTGCCACCTTATACTATAAAAGATATATATGAAATCCTTCATTGTAAACAGTTCCTGGGCAATGTGTATAATTCCTAAAACGCTCTGTAATGTATTAAATAAATTTAGACACTTTTCTATAATCCTATAAGTTGACAAAATATTGATTGGTAATGTAAAAGAATATATTACTGGCTAAGTGGAGATACAATGCACTTACCATGGACCAGAAAAGTAAGCTTATTTATCTGGTTGAAGCAAATTACAAGCAACGCTTTTTACTGCGCAGGTGACAGCAAGTTATTTGACATGTCACAAGGCAAGAATTGGTCACATCGGAAGAGATTGTATGCTGAAAGGCCTTTTACTATTAATCTATATCTATACTAATATTATAAAGAGGAAAGATTTGTATTTTTGTATATATTGAAGTAACTCAAAAACTACTGGGCCAATATCAAAAATTCTTTCACTGTTAAAATGCTACTTTATCTCTGAGTCACATAAGTTATGTTTATTAATTTTTCTAATTCCACATGGAGGAAGTCATGCGCAGCAGTCTGTAGTGTACATATGTAGGTACACACCATAACATAATATCTACAGTGTATCCCATAGTATATGGGGAATTCTAAAACCCCTTATAGTACATCTATCAAAGGACCAGAAAAATGAAATAAGAAATTGCTGGCAGATACCACATACAATATAGTTTAACATAACTGTTAATATTATAAAACAGTAGAATGTTCAGCAGTGCTTTAACTTTAGCACTGGATTATAAGTCCCAGGTTTGATCGACCTCATGTATCAATATGTTTTTAAATATCACTTGTGAGTTTATCCTATTTTGCTATGATATAGGAATACATGCCAAGGAAAGGTTTGTAGGTACAAAGTCTGCAGTATTGAATCGATAGAATCACACCACACTCATCTTCAATGACTGCAATCAGTATTTGCAAATATTTAAATATAAATCACCTGTCGTCCTGTAAAGGAGTGCAAATCGGCAATGAACACCATGACATCATCGCCCTGCTCCTGCAGCTGCACGCAGCGCCGCAGCACGCCGAAGTAGTTGCCCACGTGCAGCTCCCCCGTCGGCTGCAGCCCGGTCACCACGCGTCTCGGCCAACCATCACCACCATCACCCGACTCCTCGCCTGACTTACACCCACAAACATTCTATTACTTACATGTCATATATCATTAATAATCTTTTAGTATAATGTTGTGTACCTTATTACAAAACCATCTATTTGAACTCCTATAAACATATTTAATATTTTTCCTAATTAAGGCTGAACTTTTTATTGAAAACATTTTTGTGGAAGATAGTTTTGAACATAACACCGTAAAAATTATCGTATTGTTCAATGAAGGATTCTGTAAAGAATGGTAAATTCATTTAACATGTCATAAGGCTTTTCGTCTTTATATAAACATTGCTCTGTCTATTTTGTGGATTATTTAAATATAACTTATAATAACTTAGGTATATTCCAAGTAAAAATTGGTAAGAATCAGATTACACAGTACAAACCAAGTACAGACAAAAAAAAGACAGACAGAATAATAAATACATAGACTGTTGACTATAGAGTTTTGAATGACATATGTATGGTCACTCTGTGGTCTGGTCTCAGCTGATCTGACAATGACAATGACATCCGATAACATCTTTTCCTTTTCCATTGTTATTTTTGTTTCTTGGTTATTTTATGTCCAGTTAATACGAAAGATAAAGAATTACCTTTTAATAAGTTCTTGTTTTCAGTTATTTCAGTAGAATAAACCAGAAAGTTCTGTACTAAGCCCAATGAATAAGATTCAACTATTTTTCTTACGTTATTACTATCTGTTTCATTATTTTTCTTAATTTATATTTGTTTTCGTATAATTGAGTAATCTGCCGTGGAAATGTAAATTTATGAATTCAAATAATTTTGGTATCTCTAAGTTAACACTAGTAAGTAACTTTACTTTTTAGTATTATTTTTATTAGATGTCTTCACATTCGATACAATATGAACTACTCTTAATACATATCTATAAGTGGTCACTTCTGAATACACTCTAATCTTGCATGTTTCCTTTTTCTCTTTCACAATATTAACCATAATGAGTTTTCTGCTTAAAACAGCTTGTATGTACATGATGGCCATAAACATTTGTCACTTTTAAATCCATATGAATTGAGCAGATTCAAAAAATATATAGTTGAAGCATACTTAACATTTAACTTTAGACTTTTTTACATAATCCTCACTAACACTATTGTGATATTAAAATTGGTTGCCAATAGATGTCATTAAATAATGCTTAAATATTAATGGTTTATCTCATCACACTGTTTAGTTTATTGTAAAACAAAAGATCTATCTTTCCAAAGCTCCAGCTTATTATGATGTCGTATAGTGTTTTATAGAAACATGTCAATACAAGGATATAAGGTGGTGGTACTAAAATTGACAGCTAACATAGTACCTTTCAAAGAAACTTTTTGCATGAAATAGACTTCTATGCGGTCTATCATGATATTAATTTTGTTGTGTTAAATGTTATTATAGCTGACAATCAGTTGCATACACAATTATTGTCAAGTGAAAGTTAGGTGTAGACACTGTATCTGGTCACAATTCACATTCATTCATATCCATTTTGTTGTTCTTGTATGAAAAGTGACCAAGTTAATTATACATTTTAGTGAGTAGCACGACGCGTCGCTTGGCGGGCGCGGGCGCAGGCGCGGTGCGCATGCGGGCGTGGCGCACGCACTGCTACGGCGGACACGGCGAACTGCGGCTT